CAGGCGGGGTTACCACTCCATTTTAATCCAATTAAGAAAAAAATCTCAGGATCCCGAATGATAAAGGCATATAGAGCTATAATAATTATACATACATACATGCATGGCTGTGTTTGCATGGCTGTGTTTCAGTTTGAAAGGTGGGATATGGCAGTAAATTTACAGGGTACAAAGTAATAACACCCAAGTCCTCAGGAATGGCAACGCATGGGGGGGCGGTATCATGGGCGAAACAGTATACTCTGTTATGTCCATGGTAGTGCTCATGTCTATAGGCGACGGTTACCACTTTCCATCAGGTGGGCCGTCAGCTTGTTTGCCGTTCTATGTTGCATAACAAAAAAAAAACATAAATTTATGGTATCGATAAAAAAAATTAATTTTTGAGTGAGCACAGACGCAAAAATAAAATTATATCATCAACCTGCTATCAAAAACTTCTTCTATATTATTTGTAATTGAAATAAGGATAAGATTATCTCGTATTACAATTGATTAACATTGATTGCTAGCAATGGGACTGGTAGTACGCATGACTAACAATCCCTTCCCCCCCTTTCCTCCCACATTTATAATGGGTATAGTTTACCAGCATTTCATCACATGCTCATTTTATCATAGTTCTATTCACGTCTATAGGCGACGATTACCACTTTCCATCAGGTGGACCATCAGCTTAGCCATGAAAATAAAAGAAAATAAAAGAAATCATGCATTTTTGCGAAGCAAACTCCTTCTGTTGATTTTAATCACCACTCTAAGAAGATGCTTCTAATAAGCACAAATTAATACAGTCAGCCGCAAAAAGTATGCACTTAATGTACACTTAGAGAGATTAAAAATTCACTATTCACCCTTCACTCTGAATTGATCGGCCAGGTGTTAAATTAACAGAGTGCCTGCGCCTGTCAGGTTAAATTGTATAATTAATACTGCTTTTACTTAAACTTACTGGTAACTTTGAAGTGGTTATTGCTTGGTTAAGTCGTATTGGCGAGATTAGTGTATTTTCTTTAAAGTGGTTTAAGGTTAATTACTCAGCAGATGAAAGAAGGGTGTGTTTTGAACGTTTGTCAGTATGTATGTATGTGTATTGGAAACTTTGGAATAATTTGTAGGTTAAACGGTGTGATAAATTTATATAAACTGAATAGCTTTTACTTAAAATTTTTCGTGTGATTTTTTTAATTTATTTAACACTTTATTGCATCAATATTATAGGATTGAAGAATTGATGAATTATTGTTGAAGAATTTCGATACGTATAGTATACGTATATATATATATATATATATATATATATATATATATATAATATTATACAAATCCATTGAGTAGTTTTTGCATAAAAAATATAAAATATCTATCCATACATTCTCTCAAACTTTTGTATTTACTCCTATAATAGTAGTCTTACTAGTAAGATAATAATATTTTATATACAATATATAATATAAAAAACTAATATAAAGCATATGTATGTTTGACTTTCATTGGCTTTTATTTTAAACATAAAAAAAATGTTGCCCAAAGGTCATTGACCGCGATAATATTCTAAGCGTACAACTAAAACTATCGAGGCAGAGTGTAAAGATACGTTTCATAAATGCACCTATCAGGACGTCAGCTCCGTGCCATTTGCAAAATGTTGGGCGCGCCGCACCGCCGCCGTAAAGCGGAAACAGCGTAGAAAAGGCAGCGAAAGCGGCTGTATTATAAAAATATATATGACAATTGTCACGTGAAAAATTACTTGTAAAAAAAAAATCTAAAATATTCATGTATTTTTACCATAAATGTTTATGTGTTTCGCCTGATTGTTGTGATGATATGCATTTCTTTTTTACATTAATAATATTTCATATTAATATTAGCCGTGTTTCGGTTTGAAGGGTGGGATATGGCGTGAATTTACTGGGTACAGAGGAATAACACCTGAGTCCTCAAGAATGGCAACGCATGGGGGGTATCATGGGCGAAACAGTCTCTGTTATGTCCATGGTACTGCTCATGTCTATAGGCGACGGTTACCACTTTCGATCAGGTGGGCCGTCAGCTTGTTTGCCATTCTAAGTTGTATAAAAAAAATATATTAATATTATTTGTAATGTAAAAAATAGCATAAAGACCGATACATAAATAATGTTAAAGAACATTAACAGAGTCCCCAAAGGGGGGGGGGGGAGGGAATTATTCAGTTTTATTATAATTATCTAATTTTGTATACTTATAACAAAAAAAACCCTTGATATAAATAATAATTAAATTTTTAATTTAGTATTTGTGGTAGTGATAGAATTATAATAATATGTTACTTTCAGCTTGTTCACCTAATGTGAATCATCATCGTCATCATCATATCAGCGATTAACTGCTGAACATAAGCCTAGTCCATAAGTGGGATTTTGCTGCTACCGTAATTTTGCCGGGATTTTGCCATGCAACCGCAGGTAGACTTTGGAGATATTTTTAGGGGGATGCTAGTGCCTATCCCTCCACTATTAAATACCAAAATGAATATAAGATAAATAAATAATGTATCATATAAATATGAATTTTTAAAACGCTTTATTTGCAATAAAGCGTTTAAATAAAGTTAAGCGATAAAAGCGCTTTACACGTTAAAAATGTCAGCGAAGCCCGATGTAGCGATTGCATTCATCACCTAGGTATGCGTAAGTTTACCAATTTTTCATTTCCAAAGCGGACATTACTTGTTTAAAATTTTTTTTTATTAATGTAACAATATTTGTTTGCCAGTATTAATTTTTTGTGTGTATCTTATATGATATTTTTACTGATTCTGAACCTATATCGATACTGTTTTTGTAATCGACAGCGTTTACTTCTTTGTTCATCTTATATTATTTTTCTTTGATAATTGAATTTGATTAGATGATTGAAGTTTCTTCATGATTCTATTAGAATGATTCTTTCGAAGTCTCTATGTTGCGGATGCTTATAGACGGCAATAGTTACTTACCATCAGGTGAGCCAGATGCTTCTTCACCTTCAACGTCATAAAAAAAACTGGAAAATAACAATTCATGCCTGCAGTGGAAAGGCACGGATATTTTTTTTAATGGGTGATAATGGAATGGTAACCCCGTCTGCGCTATCGAGATACGCAGACGGGGCACCAGTGAGGGATGACAAGTGAGGATGAAAAGCCAGGTCAGTTAGCCCATCGTGACAAATTCCACTAGAATTAACCATAATGGTGTCCAGGGAGAACCGCGTGTCTATGATGAGTCTATTAGATCCAATTACTAATAGTCCCTTTCCCCCCACGCACGAATATTTACGGAGGTCATAATTTTATGTACCTAAGAAAAGTACTAGTTTTCTAAATCTTAATTTTATAATATTTATAAACACGATTTGATTAACATTTCCGAACGCAATGCCGCAATGTACTTCTAGTCTCTACATTATCCATATTTTTGATCAAATCTGGGTTCACATTTGGGGGTAGATGGGTAAGAAAATCAGTCTGTCGTCTAACTGCGCATCGAGCAGATCAAATCGTGTAAAGATCTCGACAAATCTTTGCCAGTTACGCATAGTCTAATCATCCGCGACCTCCGCGCATCAATTCGCAGCAGAAAGAAAGTTGGGTGAATAAAGTAAAATACGAACGCGTATGAGAAGACCTATACGTCGGGACTACGTGAACCAGGTTGGTCCTTCTTCCTTCTCTTTACTCAACACACTGTGTGAAATAAATGAATTATTAAAATTAAATAGGATATCCCAGGTTTTCGATCCATCATGGTCACAGTACGTGGCATAACAAATAACGGATAGTGCATAACTGCACCTGTTTATTACGACGACATCCACTGCGGGAATTTGAATGCGATTTATATAGTTTAGAAGGTGCGGCGGACAGACAGACACACACCCAGCAATGGACTAGGACTGACGTGTTTAGATTTCAAGATAACACGAGTATTGTAAACGTGGTTTCATTAATAAAAGCTTTCCTTTCATTATAGTAAGTTTATATCTTGCATATTTTAAACTAGACCATTGTCAGGCATTTTGAATAAACTAGATTTTGTTTAACACGGTACATAATTTTTTTTTATGCAACTTAAAATGGCAAACAAACTGTCAGCCCACCTGATGGAAAGTGGTAACCGTCGCCTATAGACATGAATAGTACTATGAACATAACAAGGTATACTATTTCGGTCATGATACCTTCCATGCGTTGCCACTCCTGAGGACTCAGGTGTTATTCCTTTTTACCCTGTAAATTCACTGCCATATCCCACTCTTCAAACCGAAATACACCCATGCAAACACAACTGCTTCACGGTAGAAACATATGGGACAGAGGTAGTCGAGCAAACGACTTTTGTACAAAGTCTCCCTCTGGAATCTTTTTAATGATAAAGTCACTGTGTTCATATCTAGTTTTTTTATTAATGGGTGATAATGGAATAGTTACCCCGTCTGCGCTATCGGTATACACTAGCGGGACACCAGTGAGGGATGAAATATATAGATGAGGATGAAAAAGCAGGCCAGTTAACCCATCATGACGAATTCCAGTAGAATTAACTGCAATGGTTTCCAAGGGGAACCGCGTGGAGTTCAACCTGATAGGGTGTTTTGCTAACAATGGGTCAGTTAGACCCCATTACTAACAAACCCTTTCTCCCCGTTCATATCTATTAGGCGACGGTTACCGTCTTTCATCAGGTGGCTGCCAGCTTGTTTACCATTTAAAAGTTGCATACCATATATCATATCGGCCGTTAACTGTTCACTGCTGAACATAGAGCTCCTTCTATTGGCGGGGGGTTTGCCAGTAGTTGCCATGCTTGGCAGGCAGATTTTCAGCCAGGCTTTAGGGATGTTTTAAGAGGGACGCTGCTGTCCATCTTTAGCCTTCCCTTAGTCGGCTCTTACGACACCCACGGGATAGGAAGGGGTAGCCTATTCTGTGCCGAGACTACACGGCAAATGTTACTATATTTATATAAATACTATAATATTAAATATTACTTTATTAAAATACAATATCTGATGATGATATCGGTGGTCAGTTTAAGAGTGCCTCCTAACCAGGAAGTCGTGTAATTGTTGTTCACATATTCTTGGCACGCGCTGCGGCCCGCGCAGTTTCGACATCAGCTCAAACACTGGCTTCAGTTGATCTTGTGTTACACCCTGAAATTATTTATTAATTATTTGTATTGCTATGGCACGCTCACAAACGATAATTGTATTTAGCTTTGTGTATTTTTTTTTTTCATTTATGTTATCTCGCTTTTTTTGTATATCTATGTTGTAATTTGTGTGCTGTAAGTAGTGCAAATAAATTATCTATCTATCTATCTATCTATTTATTTATTTTACAATTTATTGCACCAAATAAAAATAACAAATAACAAATACAGTAAATATTTATCAGAAGTGATACAAAAGGCGGCCTTATCGCTAAACAATCTCTTCCAGACAATCTTTGGATAGAGAACATTGAGAAAAAGAAAAAGGGTAGGTGACACACTATTATATAAATATTATCATATACAAACATATGTACATACATACACATACATATATTAGATATACACAATCAAATATATACATAAACATACACATACTTAACAGCACACATACAACAGAAGAAAATGACGAAGGAAAACGAAGAGAGAACACAGGAAAATAGTACTAAAGTGAGAGGTAGTAGGATTTAACAGAAGTTTTGAAGCTAGTAAGAGTTATTACATTTTTATATTACAAAACTAGCTGACACCGCGAACTTCCGTGTATTTTTGAATTTTTTAGTTTTTTTTAATACTTATTCTTCTTTTCGGGACGCCGGGTCAGCTTGTAAGATAAAAAAAAAGTTAAAAAGTAATAGTAAGTAATACTAACTGGTTGCCGACGGTATATGACGGCTGCGATCATCTTTCCCCATAGCATTTGCACCAGAAACGGTTCGGAACCATCAGCCGCGTCCAGTTGGTGCAGCTGCATCATCGCGTCATGGGTTACTGCTTTATCTGGATTAAGATCATAATAATTATTTAATATAAAAGAATATATAAATCAAATTATGTAAATTGAAATGGGAAATGATTTGAAAACTCACAAGGAAATATGACGAATTGGGGAGAAAGGGATTGTTAGTAATAGAGACTGAGAATCTCTAGCTATTGCTAGAGTATACCTAACCAGGTCGATCTCCTCGCGGTTCTCCCTGGAAACTATCATGGTTGATTCCTGATGAATTTATCATGATGGGCTAACTGGCCTGATTTCATTCTCATCTATCACCCTTCACTGGTGCTCCGCCAGCATACCCCGTTAGCGCAGGCGGGGTTACCATACCATTTTCACCCATCAAAAAAAAATTATGACGAATTTAGTCAAAATATTACAGAATAGAAAATAGTTAATACAGTGAAAGTAGATGTGATTTGACTGATCATTGATGACATCATTGAGTAGTGAAACTAATGCAAGAGAGAGAGAGAAAGTAGCTTCTTTGGCCAACTGTCTTTTAACGAAATATCGCAAAAGTACTGTCTACGTTCCTGCACATAGTTTTAAATGTAAATATCATTATTGATGCTTGGGTACCTCGGTCCCATTCATGTTTCAACCGTGAAGCAGTTGTGTTTGCATGGCTGTGTTTCGGTTTAAAGGGTGGGATATGGCGTGAATTTACTGGGTACAGAGGAATAACACCTGAGTCCTCAGAAATGGCAACGCATGGGGGGTATCATGGGCCAAACAGTATACTCTGTTATGTCCATGGTACTGCTCATGTCTATAGGCGACGGTTACCACTTTCCATCAGCTGGGCCGTCAGCTTGTTTGTCATTCTAAGTTGTATAAAAAAATATAAAAAAAATAGCTTACATAAATCACTTTTATCAGTGTCCAAAGAGAGAACTTGCTGGAAGCATCCATTCACGCCCTCAACAGATTTGGACCAGACGTCGAATGGGTGGTCGGAGTGGTACCGTTGTCGGACTATTGGGCCTTTTATGTTTTCCAAATTCATCTTCTGCGGTAAATTAAGTGTTTTGTTCACTAACCATCGTAGACCGCCCTGAAATGATAAATGTTGGTTTTTCTTTGGGTTATATCAGAGACACACTTTTAGTATCGTCACCTACTTGGGTATTTATGACCCACTTCTGATTCTGTGGCAAAGCAGCTATGTCTGTATGGCTATATTTCGATTTAACGAATGGGAAATGATAGTGTAATTACCAAGTAAGGAAGCATTACATTTTAGTCCTCATGAAAGAAGGGTACCTATTTATGAAGGCTAAAATTGCAAAAATAAGCAAAAATTGCTTGTGTTAGGAAAAACCGCTCTTTCATAACAATAATTAAATTTCATAATCTTTACAATTTACTTTTTTTTTCTTTTAATCAGCATTAAAAATTTTACTTTGTTTTACTTATATACAATAATACTAAAAAATTAACATATCTTTTTTTTTTTTTTTAATGGATGATAATGGAATGGTAACCCCACCCGCGCTATCGGTATACACTGGCGGGGCACCAGTGAAGGATGACAGGTGAGGATGAAGCAGGCCAGTTAGCCCATCGTGACGAATTCAACAAGAATTGTTCACGATGGTTTCCAGGGGGAACCACGTGGAGGTCGACCTGACAGGATATATTGCTAGTAATGGGGTTATTTGACCCCAATACTAACAATCCCTTTCCCCCCAAATTAACATATCATAAAAAAGAAAAAAAGTGTCTATTTATGATAACAAATGTGCTCGTGTATATGTGCTTGTTCTTGTGTGTATGTGTGTGTGCGTGCGTGTGTGTGTGCGTGCGTGTGTGTGTGCGTATATATATATATATATATATATATATATATATATATATATATATATATATATATACAAAAACCCAATTGAAATAAAAATTTGTTTTGTATGCTACCTAAACTTTTACAATTTACGAAAAATGATGCGAAGAATTATTTTTCAATATTTTTTTTTTTACAATAACAACTAATTTGAAAGAGTCTCAATTGCTGATACCTGCGATGTCAATCTTCAACAATTAAATTTAATAATTAAACAATTATAATTAAATATTACTAAAACAAAATAAAAATTGTCAAAAACAAATTAGACAAATTAGTGTACTCCAGGTATTGCATTTTTGCTTTTTAAGTTTTCAATTACTATTTATTAACAAATTAAAAAAAAATTAATACACAGTAATGACAGATAATAGAAACATCACCAGCTTAACTTTATTACCAACTCTTACCTCATCTGTTTCACTGAATTCCACTTTGAAACAAGCGACATCTTTGTCGGGGAACAGCTTTTCCGGTATAATGGCGACCACCTGCCACGACCCCGTGATACTCTTCAAGTGAAAATTTGCTGTGAAACCATTACATGTTGAGATGTTCCCTTCGGATTTCGTTACAGCTATAACTAGTAGGAATATTAATATGTGAGACATGTTTTGTGGTGGGATGAAGGTGAAAGACTGAGTTGACGCCGTGGAAAGATTTAGGAAGGAAGTTGTTAGGAATAACAATGTAATAGAAGTGGCAATTTGAGTTTCGACCAAAATAAGTTTTCCAAAAGACTACAGCATGGAGTTCTTCAAAACAGAAAAGAGGTTTCTTTGGGGTCGGAGAGGCGCGCGTAATGACTCTGGTATTGTAGGCGTTCAGAGACTACGGTAACCGCTTACCATCAGGTGGGACGTATGCTTGTTTGACACCTCAGTGAAATATAGTAGTATTTTAAGCAATTGATTTACATACATGTTATCACGTTGAATTCCGATATACACGGCAAAAGGTGAGCGTGTCTAATGTAAAATTCACTACAACGGTAATAGTCGATCAAGCAAAATATTTGCAGTACTCTTTACCGAACATAATTGACAAATGCCTCTGACTAGTCCATAAAGTATAGTTTTTTTTTATTATTTATATTTATTCTTGCATAGCTATTATTGTTTGCAAGTACAAATTATCATTTGATCGGAAATAAAATTTTAGATACACTTTTTACTGTTCTAAAATCAAATATTTTAAATCTATTTGTGTTTGTTTGTTGTGTATATGTATGTAAGTGTTTATGACTAAAGTAGCTAGTTTGCAAATAAAAGTATATATTTTTTTGTCCATTCTATCACGTTCTTAGTTCTGTGTGTGTAATCTGTCAAATTAGGTGCAATCTACGTGGGTGGCAATTTGGTGAACAATAGGATAATATCAGGTGTCGTCGGAGACTGCAGCATGATGTGACCCACTTCCAGGATCCGCCAATTGGTGCCAGTGGAACGACCTATAAACTGACGAAGTAATTGGGCACCAGCCTAACTGAACAGGTTTTTTCCACATGTTTTAATTAACACGTACCACTTTAAGAAAAGAAAGGTTCTTGAGTGGCGACCCCGTACGAGTAAACGCAGTGTGGGACGACCCCCCCCCCCTCACTAGATGAAGTGACTACGTCAAATGAATTGCAGAGAGTCAGTGGATGCAAGTGACTCAGGACCGTTCCTTATGGCTGTCTATGGGGGAGGCCTATGTCCAGCAGTGGACGGATAATGGCTGAAACGATGACGATGATACCACTTTAAGAAACAATTAATTACATGAACTCTTTTAAATATTTTTAAACGAATGTTAAAAAAAAACACCATTCCATTTTTACCCATAAAAAAAATTTACATTGTATATTTATATATTTCTAGTGCAGTAAAAAGCTAAATAAATAAATAAATCTAAAAGTATAAAATACTTTTAAGAAAGTGCTTCTATCAGTAAAATAGTTTTCTCATTGTGACAATTTCTTGTAATTGTTTGTATCTATAATAAGTATATTATTGTAATCTTTTGGAGGAAAAAATATAAAGTATCTATTTATCTATCTGTCTATTTATCTAATAGTCTTAAAAACATGGTAATGGTTTTATTTCACCATAATAAACCATAAATTTAGTACCCACTCCAGTATTTAATACTAGTACGCTATTCCCAGCAAAGTTAATTTATTTAAAAAGACGTACCTTAAAAATAGTACCGTTATTTTATGTGACTTTTATTTGATGAAAATCCTTTTCAAATCTTTATCTCGAACCATGGTCTATAGTCTGAGGAATTACCGGTGTACCCATGGAAAAATACGGTCATTGTTTAAAAAGTCAAAACCTACATACATTTACTTGAACAAAGGCAGTAAAAACGGTTTATGGACTTGTTATTGCAGTCCCAGTGGACTTGTTGTGTGGTGCAAGTGACAGACTGTTTGTGAATTTCTGTCTCGTAAATATTAAAGCTACCTATAAGTAAAAAAAAAATCAATCGATATTTTAGCACGTAGTAGTACAAAAGGCGATCTTCAACAAATCCTGTTATGTTAATGCAATAAAGTGTTAAATAAATAAAAATAAATAAATATTTTATTGCAGTATCAAAAAGTACAATGTATATACATAAAGATCTTATAGTTATTCTGTAACGTCCCGTAAGAGCGTGGCAATACAGGTAGAGAGTCGGACAATTTATATTTAATTAATATTATATACATATAATTAATAACATCATTTATTAAATTTTATTTTTTTAAATCCTTTTTTTTTATTATATTTTAAATTTCAATTAAGTTATCACACAATATTTTGGTCACTTTAAATTTCATTATTGGCAAGTTTTTAGAGCCAGGCAATATATTTCAAAACTTATTTTACTATTGTCATTTTTTATATGCACACATATCTGAACTTTTTTATATACCAGTTTTTTTTTCTTAAGGATCATTTTTCTAAGTCATATTAATATATTGTATAATTATATTATAATTAAGACATTATTCTTCTTATTTTTTATAATCTACGTTATTTTTTAAGTTATTAAGAATAAATTTCTCATGTGTGTCTATATGAAAGGTTTAAAACCTTTAAAGACACAAAAAAACATCAATAGATTTTCTAATCTAAAAAAGCTGAATTCAGCCTTTAACTCTTATTTTTTTCATGTACTTATTTTATTATGATTTCTATATATTTTAATTTTTTTTTATTGTACGACCCTTGTTATAACATTTCTGTTGTCCTGTAGAAAATACTTGGTTAAACATTTCAAAGAAGTATTATTGTCTCCCATTATTGAAATAATTTATTTTTTATCTATTAATCCAAATTACTTCTAGAGCACTCTTTATTTTTTTATTAAGTCAGATTTTCTTTTCGAATTATTTTATTACTTTTATCAATTGATTCAATACAGTTTTAAAGATCTCTACCAACTATCAAATTATTATACGTGGACCCGCGAGTTTTATATGAGATCTCATCATCAGTTTCCATCAGGTGAGATCGTGATTGTGCACGGGGCTCTTTAATAGAAAAAAAAAACAAAATTTAAAACAATGCATACTTATCAATAAGTTCAGCGTAATTAAACTACAATATCGTGAATCACTGATATAGTTATATCTCTTAAATTGCACCATACCCAAAAAGCGAAGGTATAGAAACAGATTTTAATGTATCCTATGAAAATCTTCATTCAGTTCTCCCTTTGAATTTTAATATAAATCTTGAATCGGAAGTTTATTAGTGTTCTACTGGCTGGTAATAAATGCGAATATTATGAATAGCGCGCCAAAAATACGCAGGGGATTATTTGAATATTTCTAAAGTGGGAGATGCTTCTTATTTTAAAATTTGGAACAGCTATATTTTAAATTGATTTCGAATGTTCTTTTTTTAAATATATTTTGAAAACAGATACCTCTGTCGTATTTATGTTTCTTTGCTTGACTGTGATTCTGTTTTTTAAATTGATTTCGAATGTTCTTTTTTTAAATATATTTTAAAAACAGATACCTCTGTCGTATTTATGTTTTTTTGCTTGACTATGTTTCAGTTTGAAGGGTGGGATAATCGTTATAGCATAGCATATCATATCAGCCAATAACTGTCCACTGCTGAACATAGGCTACCCTCATAACCCCCTTATGAGGGTAGTGGTAGGTTTTGATAGTAGCTACCACACTTGGCAGGCCAATTGGCAACCACAACTAGGCTTTGATGATGTTTTAAGTTAGACGCTGCTGCCTATCGGAAGGGTGGGATGTGGTTGTGAAATTACAGGATACGGAGACCTCTTTACCTTAGTTCTCAGGAATTGTATGTGTACCTCTCTTGATATCTCAAAAAATAGGTTACAGTTTATTTGTGATCTACATGATATATATACTTGACTCTAAAAGACTTTTCATCAAGTGGACGACATCTAAATATGAAAAGGTCCTAATTCGATAAATTTTTTTTTTATGTTTGTTACCTCCAACATTTATAAACCGATATGTAACATTATTTTTTTATCTGAAAGGACATATTTTAATATCGGTTCCATAAAAACTTTACCAGAGTAAGTTCCGTAGTTTAGTTTTTAAATTAGAACGATTGGTATTGACGATTGAACTCAGTGCTTTGTTATTTATTTTATTTACTTAACACTTTATTGCAACGACATTACAGGATTTGTTGAGAAAACTTTTTGCTTTTTTGTGAAATAGACTCATTAATTTTTTTTTAGTGCAGGTATATAAAAAATGAATATATTTCTTGTTTTGTTTATTTTTGCATGGCTTCTTTCTACTTAGAAGACGGTTGAAATGTAACTAATTACAAATACATTTTTTTATACAACTTAGAATGGCATACAAGCTGACGGCCCACCTGATGGAAAGTAGTAACCGTCGCCTATAGACATGAGCAGTACCATGGACATAACAGAGTATACTGTTTCGCCCATGATACCCTCTCATGCGTTGCCATTCCTGAGGACTCAGGTGTTATTCCTCTGTACCCTGTAAATTCACATTCAGTAGATTAGTATTTGTTTTAACTTCAGTTATTAAACATGGTGTTATCAGCGTCAATATTAAACAAAGCATAATTAATTTCCATTCAAAAATCCCATCAAAACATCGTATGCAAAAATGTCAGTAATTAATCTTACCCTTTCACGAGTTGTTAGCGATCGTTGAAATATTACAAAAACGATCCAAGTTTAAGCGTCATTAACTAGGAATATTCATAGGGTTAAGTCATCGGTCACTCTTATAAAATGTCAGGGTTATTACGTTACTTCGTTATTTTTTTTTTGTTAATTATGAAATAAATAGCTATATTCCGCAGCTATACTCGTGTGAATCGGTATTGTACTAAATGTACTAATATAAAGTATCTTTAATATTTATTTGTTTATTTTCACATTAAATGCTCACTTCACTTACAGTTACCCAAAATGTGTAGTGAGCGAAAGGTTTAATTTAAAACTTAAAAATTTTAACCAAAATTTGGAAAATCTATCTAATTATTCATTAAAAATATCAATATCTGGCTGCTGAGCAATCAGAGAACATTACATATTAAATTAAAATCCTATCTATCCATGTACCAAATTTAATTCAGATCCGCTCAGTAATTTTTGACTGAAAGAGTAATAAACATCTATCCATTCTATGAATTT